TGACTTTCTATCATGTTCATTAAATTTAGAGTCAAATATAGATCATGTGTTGAAACTATTGAATTTTCAACCAAAAAAAAAAAATTCATGAGTAAATTAATGGAATTGTGGAAGTATCGAAGCTGGGATTTTAATTAATTTTAAAATATTATAAATTCTAATGAATTTTATAAATTTGAATAAATTTTCATGAAATTAATCGTAAGAATCTTATTAAAAATTGTGAAAGTTCAAAAGAGTTTGTTATTGATTAAGAGATAAATTTCACATTGAGTGAAGATGAAAAAATAGAGCAATTTATAAGAGTTTGACCACACCTCTTAATAATGTTGATATTTTAATATGAAACCCCAAGTATTAAGATGATATTAGCGCTCACTAAGTTTCAATAAGCAATTCAATCCTATTAAGACTTAAAAATAAGCATGCAAATTTTAAAATTGATTTACTCAAAAGAGTCACTTTCTTGAATTACTTCTCTCAATAAGGTTAACATTTTAAAATAAAATTCCAAATCTAACAGTTAAATTGTTAAAAAGTAAGAAAAAAAGTATTGGTCCACATGCAAAATTATTTTATTACTAGAATGTGTGGCTGAAAATGAACTTGAAAAAACATGAATTTAAGTAATCTGTACCAAACATGGCCAAGTAATACTGAATAAAATAAATAAATTATATTATTGCATTCCTTTTCATTGTTAGCGTTTGCCAAACATATAATACAATATCTACTTTGGGATTTTCTTGAACAAAAAAGTGATATTGTTCCTTCATTAATCAAGATTGTAATTGCTATTATTTATTTTTGATAAAAATTAAAATGTTTAGAAGGTAAAATTTTTAACGTTGGCTATAAAATACTTATGATTTAGTATTAGATGTATGCACAATGTATGTACGTCCATTCATATTAGTGCGTTGAAGCAAGATTATTAATATGATGCAAATTTTGTGCGCTAAGAATATTAAAAGAAAACATTGAGTCATAATTTTTTAGTCAATGAACTCCAAAAAAAATTCTCACCTTCATTTTACCAACTTTTTTAAGTGTAAATTATCTATTAAAGATATTTTTGTAGGAGAATGGCTTAAAATCATAAAGATAAAAAATTTGAAGACGCCAATGAATTTAATTAATTTTTTAAACAAACTCATACGCTTTTATTAAAAAAAAAATTGAGGACGTAAAAAGAGGCAAGTCGACAATGAGAAGATTGTAGGTATGAGTAAGAAGGCCATATTACCCTTTCTCTTGCCAAACGAAAATTAATTGTCAACTATGAATAAGGGCAAAATGGGAGTCAAAGAAAAAAAAGGAAAGAAAGATGTTGACAATAGAAAATTGCGAAATATGTCCAATATGAATAGGGCCCAAAGTTCAGCTCTTTTATATTATAGCCCTTGTTTGAGCCTCATTTTTTTTTTGGAAAAATTTCATAATTCCTACATTAACTATGCTATATTTCAGTTTTAAGAAGACAAGTTTTTAATTTCAAAAATAAGAGAGAGACAAAGAGAGAGAGAGAGAGAGGATTTTGTTGCAATTAAATCCCTAAAATTAAGCATCCAGTTTCCATAATTGAACAAACTCCTTAAAATACATATTTACAGCCGAAACCCACATAATTATTCACGCAACAGAAGACAATTATTCACGACCAAAGAAAAAATTGCAGATTTAATGATTGAATTAGTATCCAATTTATTCGATTTTGTCATACATTAAGGTCACATATCTATACATTTGGTCACAGATTCATATTTTAATTAGTCATATATTATTTTTCAATCAGAAATCATAATTTTTAAATATTACAAATTATTTTACGGTCATAATTAAAAAAAATTATAGGTCACAATTTGTTCATTAGTCGCAGATCGAAAATTAATACATTACAATTTATGTATTGGTCACAATCATTAGACAGTCACAAATTGATATTTTTTTATGTCACATTAGTCACAATTTATCTTCTTTATCGGTCTCTATTGGTCACAGATTAATCAATTTAATGATCACAATCAACCAAATAATCTGTAACCATGTGACCACCACTAACACTTGTGACAACCTCTGCCTACAACAATATCGCCGCCAGAACCACCACCGCCACCTGACAGCAACACCGTCGTGGGTAAAACCACCACAGCAATTACAACACCGTCAGCCATCCCTCACTATTGGAACCAATCCCACATTAACAGGAACCAATCACCAAAATAATTAAAAAAAAAAAAAATCCAGATCGGATCACCCATGCCATCCGACACACAAACCACCATCCACAACCAACATTGTCCTCCTTCCTGTTCTCCTCCATTCCAATGTTAGAACCAAAACCAGAACTCATCCGCCCAATGCCACTACTGGCGCATCACAAATCCAACAAATCCAACACGCCGACACTATCATCGGCCGACACCCACAAATCCAACACGCCGACGACAGATCCACAGCCATAGAAATCGATGGCGGAGACAGATTGTGGAGACTCAAGCAAGACGCGCACTGTAGCCGCCAGTGAAGATGAGGCCACAGATCACTGCGCTACCGTCTGTAAGAGACAGCACAACCTGGGGATGAAGCTACCAATGAAGTTGAATTCGGGTGGGGAGAGTGAAAATAGAAGCATCACCTCCTAAACCTTTCTTGAGCTGCCACAGAGAGAGAGAGAGAGAGAGAGAGAGAATGGATTATAATTGATAGAGAGAGAAGACGGATTGAAATGAAAATCGGGTGTAATCGGTATTTAATTTAAAGATGAAAATCTGATTTTGAACTATTAAACTACTCATATGATTTTTGAACCCTAGTTTTTAACTCTAGGGTTTTATGTAATTATCACTTTTTTTTTTAAAAGAAGAATTTTTAAACAGTGTTTTGATCATATTTCAACAGCATATTTTTCAATAAAATAATATTACACATAAATTCAATTTTATTTTTATTTTTTAACCACACATTTCCATCAACACACTTTTCAAAAATTCATGTTTTTGATAAAAATGGTGTTCAAACATGGGCTATATATATAGTGATTATTGAAAGTTTCCTAAAAGTTTCGTCAAGCTCTCCAAATTTTATCAAAATTTAATTAAAAAAAATTAAGAAACTCTTATGAAGTTTTCGAGATCAGCATGTTAGAATTTTCATACATCCTATATGCAAACAAGAATTTTCTTTTCATTTTCTTTCGCTACAAATATAAAACGTGACACAATGCATATATGTCCTATTCGTTTAAGCGAAATTCCCTTTTTTGAGTTGAATGAGGTAATCAAGTTTGAATTTAATTATAGACCATTAAGTGCATCCAAATTCCAAACACAGCCGTACCGCGTTGGACCAGCATGAACACCAACATACAAGCAAAATCAAAACTAAAAAAAATATTGTTTGTGCAAATTCATAATTTTTCTTTAAAAACTCAATTTTCTTCAAACTTATTTTTAATTATATTTTTTTAATAGAATAATTTTAGCCTTAATTCAAAAAAAATCTTACTTTTTAAATTACGAATTCAAAAAAAAAAAAAAAATCCTCAAACAAACTCATTGTATGCAACTACAGAAATTTCAGTGAATCACATTGAGTTACTAAACTTAATTTATCTTAACTGAACTCTTAATTTATTTTAATTGGGTCATGAAACTTCGAGCCCGTTTGACATGACTTTTGGAAAGTCAAAAGGAGTTTTTGAGGTTCAAAAACTGCTTTTGAACCAGTTTGACTAATTTTGTTAAAGTACTTTTGGTGGTTAAAAGAGTTTTTAGAGAAAATTGATTCAATGTGGCTTCCTCTAAAAGCACTTCCAGAATAGAAAATGCTTTTAAATATTTGATTTCAAACAAAAATTAAAACAATTTCCTCCAAAAACTCTTCTACAAGAAGCAGCACTAAAAGGAAAAGATATGCCAAACAGGTCATATTGCGTCAAAGTTCACCACCCCGGCATCTATAGTTTACAGAATTACAAAAATTGCTTCATTATAATCATTACCATAATAGATCTTGGTTTTTCAACTTATCAATTTGCCATGTTGAAAAGAATTAAAAAAAGCAAAAAAAAAATAAAAAATTATGTCTTTTAATCTTATTCTTTGAAGATATTGCCATAATCGTACTCATTATTTCCGTTTTTAATTTTTTATTGTACTATATAAAGATTACCAGAAATACAAATTATGGTATGACTATCAAGTTGGATTAGTTTGACAGACAAATGATTTAATAAGTTAGAGAAATTTAATTGATGATCAGTCACTCAACCTCTGTTTGTTAAAAATTATAATTAAAATTTTTATCAAAATTAAAGTCAATAATTAATTTTAACAACACGATTCATAATTTTTTAACCATATATTTCATCAATTTTTATCAAAATCTGTTAAAAATCTAATTTTAATTCCGATCACACAATGGCTAAATTGAGGAGAATTAAAGCTAATTGACTATTGATGAAAGTTAGCTAATGTTTGATTTTAAATTATATTTTTATAAAATTAGATAAATTGCGTAGTTTAATTGTAATAAAATTAGGCCTTGTTTGAGATTCATTATTTGAAAAGTTAAAAAGTTTTAAATAATATTCTTAGAGAATGTGTGATTAAAAAGTAATAAAACTTTATTGATTTGTGTATAAAATATTTTATTATGTAAATATGCGATGAAAAATAATATTATAACAAATAATTTAAATTTTTAAAGGAGTTTAATGAATATTATAAAATATGTTATTGAAAATTAATTTCGAGAATGAATTTTAAAAACTGAGGCAAACATATACCTAACCAATTTCCCCTCACCTTCCTACATTATTCTGGTTCACACAATTACAGTTCCCACCCCCAGGCTGGGTCTCCTGTACACACACAAAGAACACGAGTTCAGAGAGGGACGGAGAAAAATCTAAGCCTTATTGGCTTTGATTTTTGCTTTTCTTCTACCATTGATGTAACATTCACCTACGCACACCAGACCGCCGTCTATATATAGAGAACTGTTGACCAACAGGGAAAAAAGAAAGAGTAATTTTTGAAAATAACCCAATTGTAGAACACATACATAAACAGGGTTTAAAGAGGAAATATAGGTTTTTAATCTGGGTGTGTTTTGTGAAATGGGTGATGTTTTTTGTTCTTCGTTTGTGACTTCATTTTCTTCGTCATTGAATTCTTCTCAACTGATTTTTCCACCCAATCAAAGGCTACGTAAAGGATTGGTTTCTTTTTCATATATTTCCTCTGTTAGCGGTTCTTCTTCTTCAGTTGGCTTCAGAGCTCGCAAGCAATTGGCATCTGTTAAGGTAAGGACTTAAACTTTCTTGAATGAATCATTTGACATGGGCCTATATTTTATAGTAATTTTATTAGCTTTTTTATCGCTAACGAATCAAAGAAATCTATCAAGAAAGTTCTTGTGAGGGTTTTACTGTGTTGAGTTTGGATGACAGAAAATTGATCTTTATGCTCACGTAATTGTATTTAAATGGTCTGACCTGTGGTCAATTTAGTATATATGTGTTTATTTGCTGATGGCTCTAGGTTATAGATGAAACTTTACAGGAAATATTTGGTAAAGTTACTCAATCTTTATATGTTAACTAAGAGTATCTGAAAATATATTGCTTGATTCTTGGGTTCATCCCATGATTACTAATGAATCTTTCTCTTGTATTTTCTACATGTTTTTATTTTTCCAAATTTTTAGATATGTGAGAAACCTTTTACATTATGTTATTCTAATATGGACGGTAGAATCTAGATTGTTAAATACTTTTTAGTACTGTGATCGTTTTAAGGTTTTACTGCTGAATAATTGAAGTTTTCTCTGTAGTGATTGGACCTTGCAATACATCCATTTTGTGTTAGCCTGAGTTGTTTAAATCGAAACCCCTTCCAGGAATCGTTCAGATCCTAAACGTAGATAAAGTTACTGAGCATCTGGACAATATTTGAAAGATCTTTAAGGAAAATGGAGGACAGAAGATAGTTAACAAAATGTAATTAAGGGAGGATTCAGATCTTATTCTGACTTGTTTAATCTGCCATAGTGGAGGTTCTATATGTAGATCATAATGGATCAAATAGCTTAAGGAAAATGATATAGTCTTCAAGTATAAGTCACAATAAGCAAAAAATTATAAGAGGCATTGTATTTTATGAGGAAAACATTTTTAATGCTTGAATCTAATGAGAGTGACGGGTTTGCTCATCTTAAAAGCGTCAGACAAGAATATTTTGTCATTCGCATGACTCAATGATAATAGGCTTGTATAAGGTTTGGCCTTAAATCCTTACCTTTGTCCCACTAGTTATGGACGAGCTTGCAAGACTTATTGAAGATGAGGATTCTAAGTGCATTTTGTTTGATAGTGATATAGTTTTGACTGAGGAGACATTATATGGTAAGTCAGAAGTACTTTGGAATCTAAAAGTCATATGCTCATTTATTAGTTGGAGAAGTAAGGATTATAGTGGAGTTAGGGACGATAGATTATCAAGTTGTCTCAAAAAGTGATTATTTTTAGGTATTTAGATTTTATTATTGAAAAGGAAAGAAGGATTGGAGAGAAGTTGTAATGATAAGATTAGAGTGGGCTGCATGAAATGTTCGAAAGCTGCAAGAGTTAGAAAGATTCCATTAAGGTTAAAAGGCAAAATCTACATACCAGTTATTAGACCAGCTATGCTCATAGCTCTTATGTTCATGAGAGGATTGCAGTAGAAATGAGGACGAAAGATGGACGTGCAGCCATTTAAGATGGACAAAAAATGAGCATATGCGTAAATAAAGTGAAGGTGGGGCTGATCGAGGATAATTTAAGGGATTTTTAGCAGAAATGAGGATGCAAGTTGACATACAGCCATACTAAGATGAATAATAAGATAAAAAATGAGAATATGTTTCTACAAGTTAAGGTAGATGATCGAGTATAAATTAAGTCAAACGAAGGTTTAGGTGGTTGGGTCATGTTTTAGGGCAACCTAAAGAGGCCTCTAGTCATAAGACTCATGCGATTTGGTTGAATAGTTAGAAGAGGGAGGAGTAACTTGGTTTGTGCTAGTTGCTAAGGATCTTGTTGATTTAGATCTCCCATTAGATCTAGCAAAGAACATAACAGAATGACAAAGAAGGATTCACGTTTGTTGCTTAACCCTGGGATGTAGAAAATTTCTAGGTAGATAATGGAAGCAATATACCAAACTTGTTTTTTGTTATCCATTTTTACAATTTGTTGAAATCACAATGAAGTAGTTACTGATGAAGCCCCTGTTTGGCCCCCTTTAAAACTCATCAATTTAATTTAAATTTTTCTCTCTTCTATTTTCAACCACAAAATCTTTAATAAAATAATATTACACGTAAATTGAAAATTTTTCATTCTTTTACAACCATCTATTTAAATAAATAAATAAAAAAAAAAAAAAAAAAAAACTATTCCCCCCATTATAAATCCAAATAATGGGGGCCAAACGGGGGCGAAATTATATCAGAAGGGTATCAAGTAATGCCCAAAAGATATTCACAATTGTAATGTATTTCAATTTGCTTGTTTAAAATAAGGGATTAGACGAGTTAAATAATCTTAATGCTTTTATACATTTTTGTGAGCATCTTTTGTGCTCTGGTGTTGTGGACTTGGATGGTTAAGGTCCCTACTCAATGTCTATAATTTTTTATTGTATATGAGCATATTTAATTGTTGAATCCTCTAATCCATCTCTAACATTCTTTGCTTTCAAAATAACGAAAATTGGCTTCTGTCCCTGTAATGGCCAAAACTTGGCAAAAGTCCATGGAAATAGGTTTAAAGCTTAATCTGCACTCCATTGGAGTCCAAGAGATTGTATATCTTGCAAATGTTTTCTTCCAAGTTTTATTGAGTGCAGTCTCTAATTGGGACCTTATGTGACTTGACCTAGTTCTTTTCTGCTCATTTTCCTCTTAAGTTATGCCTTTTACTTGATTATAATTTAGAAAAAAGTATTGAAAATCCTTCTACAAATATTCATCTTGAAGAGCTAACACGTTTTCCTGTCTTATAATCCTGCTGGAGAATTTTGACGCGTAATGATCTAACCATCTAGTAGTTTGAAATTTTGTGGCTGGCCTACTGTAGCCCTCGCATCTTGTTTCTTTTTCAATCCCATTCCCTTTTGCAGCTAGGATTCCCCAACCACGAAGACATGTTAACAATTTGATGGAAAATGGCTTAAAGATTTAGACTGTCCCCATGATCTGCATCTATCAACTTATGAGAAAATGAGCAACTAGAGTTTTTTAGAATAATTCTTTGCTTCAAAGCTTCATGTTGCCGCTAAAGCAGCAAAAGAAAAGGCTATTTGCTTTTGTAGACATGATAAACTTAGTGTTGCTCTTTTCTGATCCTCGTAAGCTGTCAATGCTATACAAAGTTGCAGTCATCATCCATTATGAGATTTGCAGGACTTCTATTTTATGTTAGAATGTTAAATGTCTTCGCAGTTATCCATAAATTTCCCATCTGCTTCAATCTGCAATTGTTCATGGAGAAAAAGGCAATAGTCAGTACGTTTTAGTTAAAATGTAAAAATTATGTGGTGGTGGATGGTCTTCTTCAGGACTTCTTGGAGAAGGATAATATTCTCTGGATTTTTTGAAATTGAAAAAATTAAAGGACCTGTTGCCAGTTTTCCTTTATTATTTTAATGTTTCTCTTACCATCCATCCTATTTTTTCGCAACTAGAGCTAGGCAGCTATCTGTTCTTTCACTGATAAGGTTAACTATTTTGTCTAAAGCTATGTCTCTTTCAGCATTTTTTTTTTCTTTGTGCATGTGAGGCTTTGTATTTCACATACCGATTTCATCTTTTTAAAGTTAATTATGACTCTTTGCTGGTGCTTTATTAAGGTACATGCAACTGTCACTGAAACTGAGCAGCCCAAGTGGTGGGAAAGGAATGCAGGCCCCAATATGATTGATGTTCACTCAACACAAGAATTCCTAAATGCTTTGCGTGAGGCTGGGGACAGACTAGTTATTGTCGAGTTCTATGGGACATGGTGCGCTTCTTGCCGAGCACTGTTTCCCAAGGTAATCTTTGTGCATGTTTGGCAAAGCTTAAATTATATTTTAAGCTGGTTGAACATATTTTTATCCCAACATTTCTTAGGACCCACAACTAGTACACACTTATTAACCACACGTTTCATAGGACTCAGCATATAATCACTTTTAAGCACTTTTTTCTAGTAAATTTTCCAATTCTACTTAGCAGTATAGTTAATTAGCTAATAAAGTATGCTTCTGGAGTTATTTGATTCATATTGCGAAAATATGGGTCAACATCTGTGTCAGTGACTTGCAGTGATATATAACAGCTATAATATAATCAACATGAGGCCTTTGGTAGATCAGAAATTATTACTCATTAAAACTTCAACTTTTCGCATGTAAAAGATTATAAATGAACCTGTTCTAGAGTGTCTTGGCTTCAAGGTTTAAGTGATGATGGTAAAAGTTTCTAATTCAAATTCTTTGCAGTTCAAGTTCTACCATTTAAGGGAAGGAACATATTCCAAACTAGAGCCTTAGATTTCTAAAACAGAGATTCCGGTGTTAAAGTTTGCAGAATCGTCTAGTTTTCCCCATAACTTGTTTCAAAACCAGCTATTAACAGACGTCATATTATTTGATGTTAGGTTATTTGAGAGAGGATATATAGATTTTGCATGTATAATGTTAAACTAATCTCCAATATTATAGAGTTGTTTGATTTGGTCATCTTACACCTGTTCAGAGATGGCAGGATTTAACATTCAGTCTTTTGTGTGTTGAATGGGCGTAACATCATTACGAAGCTAATTCAATAGATCTTACTTTTGTCCCGTGAATCAAGAATGGCTGATGTTGCAGACAAAATATCTAACAAGGGGCTGCAAAATTTAGATGTAACTGGGAACTGTATTTTAAAGATATGCCTGCAGGACAAAACTAGAACAAAAACAGTTTAATTGCCGTAGTTGCACAATGATGTTCTTGATGACACTGAGATTTGGAACTAATTGAACGCTTCTCAGTTTTTAAATGAACAATAAAAGAATGTTTGAGCCCAATTTTCTTTTGATAATGAATTTGTATTTGTAGATTGATGGGAATGTGTGGTTAAAAAATAAGAAAAAATTTTGGGTTTGCATACAATATTATTTTATTGAAGAATGTGAGGTTGAAAAGAAGAAAAAGAACAATGTATTTTGTAAATAATGGGGATCAAACAAGGGCTAAGATAATGACATCATCTCTTTTCTTGAGACTACAATTTTCTGGATTTGAACTGCAATAATTTCATGTGATGTCTAGACCTCAAGAAAATAAATGTAAATAATGTTTTTGATTATCAGCTTTGCAGAACTGCCGGGGAACACCCAGATATTTTGTTCCTGAAAGTCAATTTTGATGAAAACAAGCCTATGTGCAAGAATTTGAATGTAAAGGTTCTTCCTTATTTCCACTTCTACCGGGGAGCAGATGGACAACTGGAGTCCTTTTCTTGTTCTCTTGCAAAAGTAAGTAGAACATTGCTTTCTTGATTGGGCTTTTGCTTATGGAATGCGATCTAATTTCGACCCCTGATGTTCAATACTATTCATTTGAATCTTGGGATTCAAAGTATTAAATAACTTAGATTTGGGAAATGCTTCTGCTCAAATTTTGAATTGCTAGATTACCGACAGACGGCTCCAGTTGGCTTTCTTTTTGTAATGGTTTGAGTGACCAATCCAACAAGGGGTAATAATATGTGATATGAAGCTGAACTGACAAATCAATTGGTTCATTAAGTCTAAACAGTGAGAGTGTACTCAAAATAGTTTCGGCTTTCGTCCCCCCAATTAATTTTTAGCAATCTGGGTAACATCAACATTTTGTTTATTAAATATAAATATTTTATTTACCATTTTGCAGTTTCAGAAAATAAAGGATGCCATCGTGTTACATAACACAGCTCGTTGTAGCATTGGTCCTCCTAGAGGTGTCGGGGATCTCAACCTCGGAAGTCTCTCAGCCGCGAAGGAGAAGCAAGCAGAATCTACTGCAACATAGTACATCCTAAAATTTATGCAATTGTCTATACCAATGCATTTGCGTGTAGAATCTTCGGCTGAACACTGTTCGACGCTCGAGTTTTTTAAGATTGATTTTGTGTAATTGCCAATTTTTAGTTTAAAGCAAAGCAAGTTACTGTATAATCATGCTGCATTCTTTGCTACTATACTTTTAGGCTTGTGGCCGTGCAGTAATCTTGTCTAAATAGAAATATATTTTTATGCCATGTAAGTTTCTGAGTTGATCACTACCATTGGATATTTGATTCTACATCTCGATAATTTATTGGAGATAAAATGAAATATACTTGTAAAAAAAAATTCGTTTTGCGTGAGTTAATCGTCTATACATGGGGACATAAGATTGTGTATGTGTGTGTGTGTGTTTAGTATTTAATTTTGTTAGTTGAGTAGTGGCTATTTAGTTGGGACTACATTGTATTTTGGAAGAAGCTGTTTGTACAGCACCCTCGCTAGCCCCCCGATGTGAGGGGGCTGTAAGCCGTGGTGTGTGTCGAGATGTGTACTGCACACAACACGGCTCTTGTATTTTTGTGTCTACTTAGACTCTGTTAGCCTTTGAAGGTCCGATCCATGAATGAAATTAATTAACGATGAAGTGAAGGAAGTGAAGGCTCGAACAAAAGTTGCCGATGTTTTTTCATATTCAGGCTAGCTATAGGCTATTCATAAGGGTACATGAGCAGAGTGAGTGAAGCATGATTTCTTAACAAAATTAGTTATAAGATGGCCATAAAGGAATCATCACCTCAGCCCTTTTCTAAAGTATAATGATAGGTGTGCAGAAGAATTTTTACAAAATAATTACGTAAGTTTCACAATGTTGTGAGCCCCGTATGAATAAATAATGTCAAAAAAATTATTCATTGTGAACCCATACCTATACACCAATCACAACTCTTTCTAAATGATCACATTATTTCAACGCTTAGAGGGAAATTTATAAATGCCTGCCATTTGAAGGAGGCATGTAATTCAAATATTTTTATCTCATATAACTATTTCTTATCTTATTCTAGTTGAAGTATCTAGATTAATAAATTTAGGAGATGAAACTAGTAGTTAGGTGAGAGAATTTGTTGATTATACTTTTATTTGATCTTTAATTGTAATTGTTTCATCAATAAAATAGTTTAATCCGATTTTTTTTTTTGTCAACAAATTGATGCTATCAATGGGAATTTGAGTAAGTAAACCACAAGTTCTATGCTTTAGAAAAGAAATACATGAAGAGTGTGTTTGATTAACATGGAAAATATTATCTAGAAAAGAAAATATTTTCCATCTTTTGTGGAAAATAAAAACCATCTCTACCCAAGGAAAATATTTTCCTTAAAAACAAGGAAAATTAGGCATATTTTCAAAAGTTGGAAAATGTTTTCCATGGAAAAAAATAGTAATCAAACACTCCAAGTAGAAATTTAGGTGAAAAACTGATATTTTCCATGAAAAATAAATGTAATCAAACACACCCGAAGTGAAAATGAAACGAGCAAGAAAAGGCCAACCATCATCTGCAGCACTGAGTAACGAAAACTCAAAAAATAGCAATGTTTGGGCTAATACGTGAGAAAATCAATTGCAAGAAAATCCGAAAGATGGCTGGAGATTTAAAGGCATTAATCGTAGAACGTACTACTCTTGTTAAAAAATACGGAACTTGGAAGATAGGACTGTAAGAAAGGGTTAATTCATAGGTAGCACAGTTCTTAACTTCTAAATCTATCAAACACAGAATAGAAATTTCAGGTGTTGAGGATGAGGTAGTTGTGATCTGTGCAATGATAGCAAGAGAGAATCTTCGTTGCAAAAGTGCAAAAAACATGCTATACGAAGAGGCATTTGATCGGATACGAAGAAAGTAATCCTCAAATTCCCACATTAGCTCTCTACTGTTAAAATGGGAAAAAAGTCACAGGCTTACCAAGGATATATGAATTTTGAAATTATAAGGGATAAATCCGCATACGACAGAATTCTTAGATAACCTGCTATGAAATAGGCGAATATAATCATTTCTCTCTGCCATTCGCATGTAAGATATTATACTAATAAAAGACTAAATGTCTTTAAAATAAAATCAAGGAATCCTACACAGAAATTATAAAAGCAGCCAAAAAAGAGGTTCAAAAGCTCCTGGAAAATATTGCCGTTATAGTTGAAACAAGTTCACCCAAGGATAAACTAGAAATTGATGATTCTATCGAGCCTCGCATAACTGCGTGTACATCAGAGGTGGCAACAGTCTAAGAGCTAGAAAGCTTTTCCATTAGTTCAAAGGATGAGAGTAAAACTCTCAAAATTGGCAAAGAATTATGTGAACCTATTAAAAGCTTGCCAAAAAACTTCCCAGCTGCAAACCTGGATGTGCTTGCTTGGAAATACGCGGACATAATAGGGATTGATTCCAAAGTTGCTTGTCATGCCTTAAAGCTTGATCCAAGGATCAAAATATAAAGGCGCCAACCAATGAGGGCCGAAAAACATGAGGCACTAAAAAGTGAGGTGGATAAGTTATTATAAAATAGTTTTATCCACGAAGCTCGCTATCAGGGGCAAATTCAAGATATTGAGCCAGAACGGGCGGCCATAATAAAATATTAAGGGCTCATTTGATGTCATTTTTTGCAAAAAAATGCATTTTGAAATAGTGATTTGATGAAGAATGTGTAGTTAAAAATAATAAAAAAATTTGAATTGACTCGTAATATTATTTTATTAAAGAATGTTTGATCAAAAATAAGGGAAAGAAAAATGTATTCTGAACTAAATGGGAATCAAACAATGCTTAAAATTTAAATAAAATAATTATTTTGTTGAAATTGAACATATATAATTTTGTTATAAAAATAAATTGTACTCACCAAATAACATTATTGCTTTATACAATTCAAATGAAGAGCATTGTGTTTGAATTTTTACAATTGCATAAAAACCACTAAAATCTTACACATTATTTTGATAAACTTTGTGTCACAATTCATCAAGTGTCATAATGGTCAAGCTTTCACTATATCCTAGAATAGCTCACAGGTTTCATTCCCCGTTGGCCCTTTCCTTATATCAATGGTTTTTGGTCAAAATTGTATAACTAAAAACTTATACAATAAATTGGTATACAGATTCGAACCCGGGACATCAAAGAAGCAAAGGGAAGCGCTAACCAACTTGGCTAAAAGGAACATTTGGAAGAAAAATGACTTACCAGTAATATATACTATATTTTTGTCGGTTCTCAGCCAAAAAAAAAAATGGCTCCGGGCGGATCCAGCACACATGGCCGTTGGGGCTCGCCGGGTGCTAGATCCCCCAGTGCTCGCTATCCAATATGGGTGTGCAATCCGGTCCTAGTATTGAAGATTAACGAAAAATGGCAAACCTATCAAGATTTCAAAGACATGAATAAAGGTTATAGAAAAGATAGCTTCTCGATCCTAGAATTTATTAGATGGCAGATGCTACTGCAAGACATGAGCTGTTAAGTTTAATATATTTATATTCGGGATATAACCAAATCCCTATGAATGGGCCTGATGAGGAACATATCGCATTTGCTATAGATCGGGACTATATTTGTACAAAGTAATGTCGTTTGGGCTAAAAAAATATAGGGAGACATACCAAAGGTTAATAAACAAAATATTCGCGAAGCAAATTGGGAAAATGATGGAGGTATAAATCGATGATATGCTCATAGAAAGCCTTCAGGCTACGGACCATTTGAAACACTTAGAATAGGCTTTCAATGTATTGCAAAAATACAAGATGAAACTCAATCCGCTCAAACGCGCATTCGGAGTAAAATCTGGTATGTTCTTTGTATATGGTCAATCAGTGAGGTATCGAAGTGAACCTCGACAAAATTCAGGCCTCCATAGAAATACAATCCCTATCTAAACCAAAAGAAATACAAAACCTAATGGGGAGAGTTGCTACCTAAGTAGGTATGTGTCTGAACAATGGATAAATATTCCCCTCTCTTCCAAATGCTAAAGGGAGGAAATAAGATAGAATAGAGTGATGAATGCGAACAAGTCTTCCAGGCCCTTGAAGACCACCTGGGGAAAGCACCTCTACTAGCTAAACCTGAAAATGGAGAAAAACTACAGCTATATTTAGTAGTATCCTAAGTGACACAGTCAACTCAATATTAGTAAAATAGGGAAGGCAATAACAATTATCAATATTTTGTATAAGCAAAGCCCTATAAGGAGCAGAGGCAAGGTATCCAAACATGGAAAAGTTGGCTCTTGTCCTAGTTACAACATTGTGAAAGCTGCGACCCTATTTTCAGAACCATAGTATCGAAGTATTAGCAAACTTTCTACTCAAACAAGTATTGCAAAAGGCTAATGCATCAAGAAGGTTAATGAAATGAAAGTAGAGCTGGGCAGTTCGAAATAAATTATAAAAGAAGTTTTGCGATCAAAGCACAAGCATTAGCTGACTTTGTTACAAAATTATCTTATGCTTCAATTCCAGAAGAAGAGCCCAAAAAAGGAACGTGGAAGTTGTTGGTGGATGGATTATCATGAGATCCTGACTCAGGAGTAGACATAATATTAATAGGCACAAATTAAATTGAGCATTAAAATTTGTATTTAAGGCAACAAATAACATGGTTGAATACAAGAAGTTATTGGCAGGCCATCGATTGGGGAAAGAAATTCAGGCACAAGACATTGAAATAAAAGTGACTCCTAATTGTTAATAAATCAAATAAATGGTAAAAACCACAAAATTGTTTCAATGCTTTGACAAGCTTGAACTTGTCCAAATTTCTTGAGAGGGAAATGAACAAGTAGATGCTTTATCAAAATTGTTAAGTTCGAAAGATGCGAAGTTGTTTAAAATTGTTCATGTGGAACTGCTCTCGAAATCATCAGTGGGGCAAAAAGAGAAGAAATCTTATAGATATAAGACAAGACTTCATGGATGTAAAATATTATCTCCTATTAGAGGATGAAATAAGAGCTGCTAGATACACCCTGCAAGGTACATCCTATTTAGGTGATGATATACACTCCTTTTGCTCAAACGCACGAGTAATGAATGAAATTTAAAGGCGTGTGTGGTGATCATGCCAGTGGACATTCCCTCTTACAAAAAGCTTTGAAGCAAGGATATTATTGGCCTAATATGAGAAAAGATGCAATGAATTTTGCCAAGAAATATAATAAGTTCCAGAAGTTCTCATCGATTACTTGACATCGTATATAAGAGCTACTAACCAGCAATAGCCCCTAGCTCTT